ACAATTATTTTCTAGTCATATAACTAGGGAACTGTACATGTGCTACAAAACATCAACTCAAATGCAGTTTGTAAGAGTTAATGCCACTATGGCTAGAAATATACAAGTAAAGTAAATAAGACAATAAGCATGTCTTATTTACAAAGCAAAGGAAGCAAAGGAAAATATCATTGCCATATTTTTTAATTACACAAGACAAAGAAAAATATATTCTACATGTCAGATGCAATTAATAAGGAGAGTTATACAATCTCTTCATCATTGGTATTCAAAACCAGCAACCTTATAGGTGAGACTGGCCTTCCATGGGTCTCTTTGTGTCCAGTGGGGCTGGTGTTAGATTCTCCAGACCTAATGAGCATGAGGCCAATACGACATTATGGTTTCATACCACTCAAAGGTTTCTTTCATTTTCTTTGTGTAATAGGGCTCTCAAAATCCTCTGTGAGTTGACACGTCAGTTTTTGGTCCGAAAGTACCTTGTCTTTTGCATAAACTACATGATATGACAAAGGCAGTGCTGCAAATTAAAAAAAAAAACCTCATGCTTAAGTTAAATATAAAGATAGGGAGTAATTAAAAAGTGAATAATCAAAACTTTTGAACAGAAAATAATCTTGCAAAGACTCCAGTTAGGCAACTTGTCAACTAAATAATGACGCTTGGCTGAAATGAAAACCAGCAGTTGTATGGGCCTACAGCCCCAGGATTGGGAACCTCTGGATTAACAAACATGAGGCAGATCCATCTTGGAAAGATTGTAATAGCAGCTGGCCTGCTACTAGATGCCATTAAAGGCCTCTAGCATTTGCAAACAGTCATACTGGGAAACTGTTAATGAGTGGTTGTGTGTGATAAGCATATAGTTTGCTGTGAAGACCTGAAGAACCTCTGAAATAAGTCCTCTCCACTGAACAGGTTCATCATCATGGGTTTTTAATTTGCCTAGATCAATTGAGCCATGTTTACTGTAGGTATAAGGTCTGTTATGTGATGTTTAGGAAATTGTTGACATAAACCTCTGTCCAACTTCTGTTAATAGTTAATTGTTATTAAAACAGAATTATGTGTTCATTCTATGTTAACTTGATTCTTTGAATATAACTCACATTTCCTAAATGGGTACAACTAAAAAATAAAAGTCTATCACACACCTGAGGAAGGCTACAGAAAAATAGAAGAGTTATGTATCATTCCCTTAAGTTAAGCATAATTAATTATCATAAAGTACACAGATCACGAC